CATTAATGTTCATTTTACACCTTCTTCCTTTGCTATGCTTGTGACATGGGATGCACATAATAAAGCCACAACTTCTAAATCAAAGTTTAGACTCTGCTCTCTGTCATCATCCCAAACCCAGCCCTCAGTTACCAACCAAAGCATACAATCAGAGTACAAAGATGTATAAATATATATATATATTACTTACTTGGCATGGTTGTGTTCTTTATTTCTGTTCTCGGTAATTAGATTTCTTTTTCTTATTTTTAAATGACACCAACTAAAGCCCGCCCCCTTCCCCTAACTGTATGTAAGCCCTCCCCTGCGTTTGCTTCCTCTCTCTCTTACGCTCTCTCTCTCTTTGTCCTCCTTCACTAATTTTTTCCCCCTATCAGGTCTGCCAGATGGGAATAAATAATGATTGCTCTGTCATTAGGGACGGGAGAGTGCCTCTGTCCCCCAGACCAAACATTCTTCTTCTATTGGTCAGTCAAGGTTTCAAAACCATCTGAACAGCGACACCCAATGGCCACTTTTGCTATTGTCACACATTGTCACTGGCGTTTGAACATGTGCAAATGTGAGACAGAAAGCACTTGGACCTAGAGAAATTGCTTGTAGTTTGTGTGTGTGTGTGTGTGTCTGGGAGTTTGTGGCATCATAAATATTTTTCAATACTCTGGCAACCAAACCAGCGGGCAAGCCATGACTCAACATGCACCAAAACCTCAGTTACCCGTGGTCACCTGACATGGGTTTTTTGAGCCACACATCAATATTGAGCATGACATCCCTAGCATGTCCAATGTTTTTGAACGATTTTTTTTTGCTTAATTTACTATATCTATAACACACTGGATGAACACAATATTCACTCAGATGCATACTGATGTTTACTGTGTTGAAACACTACACAACAAGCAGTCTTGTGTTATTGTCGGCTTCTCTTTTTGATACCATGTCCTGCAATATAACAGAGCTACTTTGCATCTGCCATTCGTGTGCCAGACACTGCCAAGCCACGACTCCTATCCACTGGTGATATTGGATGCCACCTTATAAATACAGGTGAGTGCAAATAGGCTTTACATCCTGTACTGTCACACAAAGCTACACTATATTGCCAAAAGTATTGTTTTGTGTGCGCTCACACACATGTGAACTTGAGTGAAATCCCATTCTTAATTCATATTGGTGTAATATGATTTACAGCTATTGCCGTTTCATCTCTTCCGGGAACTCTTTCCACAAGGTTTAGGAACATGTTTATAGGAATTTTTCTTAATTTTTCCATTTGTAAGGTTAGACACTAATGTTTGACAAAAAGGCCCGGGTTGTAGTCTCCACTCCAATTCCTCCCAAAGGTGTTCTAATGAGTGGATGTCAGGACTCTGTGCTGGGCAGTCAAGAGAGTGGAGCTCAGCATTGTGTTAACATAGATGAGCATGTACTTTATAGAGCTCTGCCTCAGGTTTCCCAGACTGGAAACACAGTATAAAGCTCCGGCATGACATGGCCGAGGTCGATGGATTGTGAAGCCCTTCTTACATTAAAGGAGATCTCCCTTCTGTCCACCTCCACAGGTGGGTACTCACAGTGCAGAGTTACTTTAGCCTCAGGTGACGTCAACTGACAGGGGAGGACTGCAGGCCAGTTGCCCCTCAGCTGAATCACCTTGTAATACTCAGTTGATGGAACAAACAGTTGTGGATCTGGTCCGTACAGAGACCAGATATGACAAATTTATGATGAGATTATTAGGATGTAAAAAAGATTCATGTCAAGTCTGCAGTTCAGAGAAATGCAAGGCTAAGCATCAATAAAATGTATTAATCACACCTGGCAAGAAGACGAAGACTAACAGCTTTGCTGTATTCCTTCCTGCAGTCAGTGTGTTCACAGTACATTGGGTAGCATGTGTACTCCCCCGTGTCTGCACCAGAGGGGTTGACCAGCGTCAGAACCCCATATCGCTCATACTGAACAATTCTGCACAGCCAAAGCAAAAAGGAGCAAAAGAACACATTTTCTTGCTTCCTCAAGCTGACACTGCACTTTATGAGTAAAGATCTGTAGACATGAAAGGTTACCTGACCTTATGGACCTTGCTTTGTGCAAGACTATCACTGTCATTAATGGGTGTGTGTGTCTGTAACAACACTCAGCTGAGTAAAATATGTCAAATATAAAATTGATTAAGGAACTTTAACCCATCAATTGTTTAAAACTCTGAAGCTGTATCAGAGCACCACACTGTGCTTTGTTACATCACACAGCTTGACTGTAATGGATAACTATGGATATCATGCTTAAAGAGTAAATGGTTAGACTGGTTAGTCAGGTTAATGTGTACATTGTTGAAGAATATTTATATATTCTAAAGAGCTTGAAAAGAAAAGTGACTGGACTTTAAGTTTCTTGAAGATGTTTAACCTCTCACCTGAGAAGCTTCTTCAGTTCTTTTATATACATCAATGAATAAAGAAAGACCAACGAATAATTATGTCTACTAATCTGTATTTGTTACTAATGTTCAATTTCAGTTTTTAATGAAATCAAAGAAAAGACATCCAGGTTATGGTGGATTTGCTTTGTAGTACACGACCAAAGTGGGTTGAGTTTGCAGGAATAATCCAAGAACATTCTACTGGCTAATACGAGAGATATGAGAACTGAACCACCTTCATAGTAGAGAAGGTGGTTCTACAATTGACCTTGATGACTGAGCATCTTCACAGACACACCTTTGTAGTACTGTGAATGTGGAGTTACTTGAATAAGCCACAACCCTGCTTCATACACTCAACAAAAATATAAACGCAACACCTTTGTTACTGCTCCCATTCCCCATGGGATGGACGTAGAGACCTAAAATTCATTCCAGATACACAATATAACCATCCCTCCCAAACAGTGGTCACAAATCAGTCCAAATGTGTGGTAGTGGGCACATCTGCCATATTGAGATAATCCATCCCACCTGTTACGGCGTTACGGCGACGAGCTGGAGTCAGGTCAAGACCCCGATGAGGACGACGGGCATGCAGTTGAGCGTCCCTGAGACGGTTTCTGACAGTTTGTGCAGAAATTGTTTGGTTGTGCAAACCAATTGTTCCAGCAGCTGTCTGGGTGGCTGGTCTCAGACGATCTTGGAGGTGAACCTGCTGGATGTGGAGGTCCTGGGCTGGTGTGGTTACACGAGGTCTGCGGTTGTGAGGCCGGTTGGATGTGCTGCCATATTCTCTGAAACGCCTGTGGAGACGGCTTATGGTTGAGAAATGAACATTCAATGCACGGGCGACAGATCTGGTTGACATTCCTGCTGTCAGCATGCCAATTGCACGCTCCCTCATTGCTTGTGGCATCTGTGGCATTTTGCTGTGAGACAAAACTGCACATTCCAGGGTGGCCTTTTGTTGTGGGCAGTCTGAGGTACACCTGTGCACTACTCATGATGTCAGATCAGCATCCTGATGTGGCACACCTGTGAGGTGGGATGGATTATCTCAATATAGCAGATGTGCCCACTACCACACATTTGGACTGATTTGTGACCACTGTTTGGGAGGGATGGTTATATTGTGTATCTGGAATGAGTTTTAGGTCTCTACGTCCATCCCATGGGGAATGGGACAAAGGTGTTGCGTTTATATTTTTGTTGAGTGTAGTACAGGACTTGTGTCTTTAAATACTGCAGGCTTTATGAATTGATAATGAACAGGAGCCACCCAAAAACGTGTAAAACCAGATTACAGTTCCATCAGAGAGGTGAGAGAGAAAGAATGAAAGGAAGAAAAGAAACCATCACACGAGGAGCTGCCTGTGCTCGTGCTGTTGTCAGATGGCCTCTGTTTCAAATGGACTTTAAGTCTTTATTTACGTGTTGGCTGATTGTTGTCTACACGTAAAAATATCCCAAAATATTACGTAACAGTAATTACTCAGTTGACTACTTTATTTTGTGTCTGTCACTAGAGAGCAGCAAAGTGCCATACAAAAAAAAAAAAAACTACAACCCTCCACATAATACAAATACATCCTAGTTTCGTGCAGTTCTGTTTTCACTTCGTACCTACAACACTGCTTTGTTATTTGTCAGAACAAACACATGAAACGTCTTCAAGAAACTTAAAGAAGTCCAGTCATTTTCCTTTCTAAGCTCCTTAGAGTACATAAATATTCTTACACATTAACCTGACCGATAGTATTGTCCTTACCACCCAGACTAACTGGTCTAATAGTTTACAGTTAAAAAGTGTTATCCACGAATATTCACAGCTAACGAACGTGAGTGGATTTAAAAACACTCAGCACAGAATCGGCTACACCACACACACCTGACAACAGTGTGCGCTGCTGTAGGAGAACAGCTATTGGTCAATAAATTGAAGAAGAGCCAATCAGAGAGTTCAAATATGTGCGCGGTCTGTTGTTTCAGTCAAACTTTGTAATGTAACGTAAAAGCGCGTAAAAACTGCTGCTCTGAGCTTCCTGGTTTTAACTGTGACATATTCTTAGACTATACACACCCATTAATGACAACGGCACTCTCACCACAACACAACTTAAACAGCATAAAACTGTTTCCTGTTATGTAAGGGTACATACATATTATTTATTTATATTTTATATTTTTTTATTTGTATAAAATGTTCAGACGCCATATCTATCTATCTATCTATCTATCTATCTATCTATCTATCTATCTATCTATATATATATATATATATATATATATATATATATATATATATATGGCGTCTGAGCTAGGAAGGGAACTGAAGTAAGAATGCATGAAACCTATGTGTTATCGGCAATCACGTGGTGTGGTTTACAGGGCGTGGATGTTCCCTTTGTGTGGAAAGGAAAACGAAACTTAACAACACTTCTTGCTGTAAGATTCTACAGCGAGCAACTGAAGTTTAATATTAGAGGCGTAATATTACAAATTTAATATTAAACTTCAGTTGTTTGCTAGGTCTGGCTTTGGGGAGTACACAAACGTGTACATAATGAAAAGAGAGAGAAAATGCTGCCCTTCCTGATTCTTCTGTTTCTAAACCCACTGATTTCTGCCGCACAAGGTGAGCATTGTATTAGTAGATCAATGTGAATGTGTGAAAAACGATTAAATAACAGGTTAATACATTTTATGTGAGTTTAATTTGTTGCTTTTTTATTGTAGTCTATATTTAGTCTTTTTGTTTTTCATAAAAAAAACCTTTACATGGGAAGTTAATGCGACAGTACAAAGTGCCTGTAAGATTCGTATGACAGAAACGTATAAATATGTCTATTTTAAAAACAGTATCGATAGTGATGTGGAAAGAAAAGGCTTCGTAAAACACGGAAACGCTGACGCATTTGTTTCCTGCTATTTCAAACAGCGACATCTGCTGGCGTATTGGAAATCGCCCCTGCAAACCTGCAAACAAACGTATTATTATCAAACTGTCAATAACTGTGATGTGTTTTTTCTTGACTTCTAAGCTTCTAAGACTAGTTTGCGCCATCTGTTTTTTTTTCTAGACACTGGCAAGCAAAGCTAGAAGCTGCCATCGCCTTAGTTTTAATTTGTAGTTAAGTCTAATTTATCTCTTTAAAAATGAAAAGACTTGAGGTGTTCTCCTTGTTTATAATTTCAGTTCAGTTTTATTTATTTAGCATCAAATCCCAACAACAGTTGTTTCAAGGTTCTCTATATTGTAAGGAAAAGACCCTACAATAATAGATGCAACTAAGGTATTAATACAGTATAGCCAATTATAATATTGTGGTACTTTGGCTGCTTCAATTTTTTTCCTCACTCTTATTAAATATGTGGATCAAAAGGATACAAAGGAGCAAACTCAGTGGCTGTGGAGATTCATATCAAAGGGAACAGTCAACAGAAGGTTTGTGTGTGTGCTTTTATGCTTTTATAGTACAGAAGACGTTGATATGATTTTCCTGATTTTAATGTACAGGTTAAAGTCATTTAAGGTTAAGGTCTGGGAACACACATCAGTGCAGGTCCTCACAGAGAAAGAGAGTCGATTCTGTGTAAGTGGTGTAATGATTTATCCACCACACATCAGATGATGCCAAGTATGTCTGTTGTTTTATCTCTTGCCCAGTTCATCAGAGCTTTGCAGTTCCTCTTTAAAGTTACTTGTTCCTATTGGCTGCTGTAAAAGTGAAGACCTATACTCTGACCCCTTTAACCTCTCTGATCTTTGTTGTTTCCTCTTTCAGACATAAAAACCATCACAGCTAGGCTTGGAGAAAAAGTCACTCTGCCATGTCAAGCTCCAAACAGCAACAACCTCGCAGGTGTGGAGTGGAGCAGACAGGACCTGGAGCCAGAATATGTTCTTTTGCTCCGAGACGGGCACATTGTTCCAGAAGACCAGCAACCATCTTTTAAAGACCGGGTGGAACTCCAGGACCAACAGATGAAAAATGGAGACGTGTCTTTGATTCTGGAGAAAGTGAAAGCTGCAGATAATGGAACATACGAGTGCCGCATCCTCACGCATGGGGGAGAACGGAGAAAGAGAGCTGTGAAAACCATCAGCAGCATCTACCTGAGTGTTGTTGATCCTCCAGGTGAGTGAGTAGAGTTGAGTGTGTGTGTGATCAGAGGTGAAGCTGCTTCCTGCTTGTTGATGTTTGTTTCTAAAGATGTTGTTGATGAGACTTTGTAGAAAGCAGCTGGTCTGAGTGATGTGATCAGAGTGCAGTAGATAATGTCTGACAGCAGTTTGATTCTGTTCTGTTCTTCACTCATCACCTACCTGACAGCTGACACCTCACACCTGTTTCTCACCTGCAGGTCAGACAGGAGAAAACCCAGACGATGGAGGAGGGAAGATTGGATCTGTTGGACCTGCAGCTATTCTGTCAGTTTTTGCTGTGCTTCTTGTTGCTGCTGTTGTTGGCTTTGTGATCTACAGAAAACATAAACAACAGCAGAGTCAGGAATCATACCAGCCTCCAGCTGAACAACAGCCTGTCTGAAAATTTTCAGAGCTTTTTTCAGCTTTACTTTAAATTTCCTGCTGCTGTTCCAAGTTCTCACTTCTGACATTCAGCATGTGGAAATATAATATAGGTCCGAATCTGGGCCCTGTACTATGAAGCAAGTTCAAAATACCCAGGGTATCTTTCCTGACATTGGTGGTCATATTTATATATTATATTATTATTATCTTATAAGATTTTACATCAGTTCCAGGTGGACAGAGTTTACATTGGACAGTATACAGTATGTTATTCATATTGTAGTCTTATCTTTGCTATATAACACTGTCTGTGAAGGTTCTCAGTCATCCAGGTCATCGTAGTCAAAGGAGCTTGGAAAGAAAAGTGTCTGGACATCTTTAAGTTACTTGAAGATGTTTCCGAAATGTTTCTGAGAAGCTTCTTCAGTTCTGAAGAAGCTTCTCGGATGAGAGGTGAAACATCTTCAAGTAACTTAAAGATGTCCAGACACTTTTCTTTCCAAGCTCCTTTGACTACGATGACCTGGATGACTGAGAACCTTCACAGACAGTGTTATATAGCAAAGATAAGACTACAATATGAATAACATACTGTATACTGTCCAATGTAAACTCTGTCCACCTGGAACTGATGTAAAATCTTATAAGATAATAATAATATAATATAAAGAGTTTGGACAACTACTACTATCCACGCGCTGGTCTGAAGGATCTTCCAGGAATGGTGATGCTGTTTGCCACAGACTTAGTTTGTCAGTAGGAAGTGATCTCACACCTCATTTCATACCTACAGATCTCTAATCTATGACCTAACCTGCTATTGAACAGGTTAGGTCATAGATTAACAAGGAACCCCAGGAAAAAGTGAACCACCTTCATAGTACAGATTGAACCCTGAAGTTTGAAGTTACCTGGATAAGAAAAAATTCTCCCAATAGGCCTTTCATCTTCAGTTTCTTTGCACAGGGCAGTTAATAAACATTCATCGTCTGAGGAATAATTGCCTCTTCATCCTCACCTCAAAACAGAGAGCAAAGAGAAAATGAAATCACTTATTCTAAATGTTAAGCCTTTTATTGCTGGTCTAGCAATAAAATGTCTGTTAAGGGCAAATAAATATAAAACAACAAGAAAAATGCAAGAATAGAAAATAACAAAAACTAAAACTTCCACAGTTTTACATAAATTATAAATTGAATGCATTCTGTCTCTGTCTGTCAGAACATGAACTAAAGATTTGCTGTTCTGGTGTTTGGATTGAGTGTCTGTCTGGTAATGACGTATATAAGTAGATCAGTCACTGTGAGCCAATTGAAATGATTCTCTGTTTAATATCAATGTCTTGTTTGAAGCAGAAGTCCTCTTATAAGCTACAGTTAAACATAGTATTCATTTCACTTCTTTACTGTTTCTTGCATTTTATTTAGCATCAGCTTTTTAAACAAAATCCTGTTTGGGTGATATCACCTGTATGATTACCTTCTGATGCTTTAATGTGCCTTTTGAAGTACTAGTGTGAAATGAAATTAAAGGGAAAACTATCAGTTTATATTGTTTTTGTTTTTTTCTGTTGTTTCGTGCTCAGGTTCTTTCCTTTACTGGTGAATATGAAAAAAAAAAGCAACAACTAGCTATTATCATGTTCATGCAGGTCTAATCTCACTGGGAACCACCTGAACTCAGCTCAGAGAGAGAAGCTGCAGCACTGAAGATTTAAAAGTCAATAATCTTTTCCCTCAAGACACATTTGAGTCTAAAGCTCTTTATACCTGATATAAAGGCTGCTTATCAGTTATTCCTTGAACAAAGTTCTCTGTGTAGAACACACGCTGATTATACTCAATAAAAGCTGGTGATAAAGTGATTGGAGGGACTTTCATTAACTACAGTATGTAGCAAAAATACTTTGGATTAAACTTAAGTTCAGCCACAGCTCCTGATGAGCCTGTGACTGTAACTAGAAACAAAAAGGTTCATGCTGTTGCCTGAAGTTCAGCTTCAGCTCTGCCACTGTTTCTCAGCTTGAGGCAGGAAGACGTTTTCAGTTCTTCTTCTCTGACTCTAAAGTGCAAACGAAGCCTGATGTGTAAACACTGCTGATCTTTGATTCAGCTGCTTCAGGTTATGGTTTAATCTGCACATTTATCAGCTCAGCAACTCCTGGATAAGAGCAGGCTCCCTCTTAAAGGCTTAGCCATCGTCCTTAAATATTTTGCATGTTTAAGCATGCTTTTTAAAAGCGTTTGCACAAAATTAATTTGGTGCCTATTCCTGATGCCATGAACTTATTTGCAGAGTATCTTTTTACTGTAAAATGCTTGAAATCTTTATGAACTGAAAGGTTGTTTAATCGTCTGACTGTAAGTATTAATATATGATCCTAAAAGAGAAAACAGTGGTTTAAATAATAACAAGGGCTGTATTAAAACTTTCTATTATGATGTTCTTAATACATACTCAAAAAACAAACTATGAAAACAATTGTTCTGTTTCTGTATTGTACTGTGATGCATTTCTCTATTTAAAAAGGATTTATGCTTGTTTTCTTTTCTGTTGATGTGTTCAGTGCTGCGAGTGGTTGTGTTCATGCAGGTCTAGTTTTACTGGAAACCTGCTGATCCAGTTCCAGAGTCAAACACACCACCTGAGATCAGCTTCAGGCATCACCAGGTGAAAAACACTCAGAGAGCAGCTGCAGCACTGAATAATGAAACATATTTGTTTGGTATTTCTTTATGCAGAGGCTGATACTAAACCTGATCATTGACCTGCTTTAACTGCAGTGTGCAACAAAGAAACTGAAGTTAAAATGTAACCTGCACAGCTCCTAACGAGCCTGCGACTGTAAACAGAGCTCAGTGTGTGGTTAGATCTGTTTGTGAAGGTTCTCAGTCATCCAGGTCATCATCACAGCAGAGATCATCATCATCTGGATCAGAGGAAGTTAAAGCTGGAGGTCATGTGACACTGTGATATTTGTGGGATGCAGTAATTTGATAAGATGGTTTTAAATGTCAAATATGGACATGAACCTGAAGGGGAACGTATGTGAAAGTGACAAGTTGAGTGAGTCGGACTGTCTCAACTCAGCCACGGCTTCATCTCTTATAGGTCAGACGTACGCTGTTTTCTGACACTTCTACCACATCTGGCCCACACAGCACTCATTTTAGACCTCGTCAGCTCCTCAGCTATAAAGGTCTTAATGTGGGCCAGGTTAAGTTCCACATGTGCCTGCCGTCTGGTGTGTGTGGTTAGTCACTCTGTGACTCAGAAAGATGAAACATAAATGTTGCTCTGGGGGAAAAACTCAGCTTTAAAAAATTTCCTTGGAAAATACAAATAGTAAAGTTTGTTTTTACTGTGTAAGAATCAAAACTAAAATGTGTTTATCTCTAAATGTCAGTTAGGGGTCCGTCCCTGAGAGACAGCAGAGATAACAAAATGGGTGTACACACATATGTGCACAGTGTTTGTGGTTGAAGCTGTTGCACTGTGGTTTCGAGCTTGCAGACTGAATCAGGAAGTTGCTTCATGCACCATGCAGAGAGCCTTCTGTTTAGGCCGACTCACAAAAAAATCCAGAGTGTCACATTTCCTCCTTCACACATGTCACACTCTGTGGCAAAGGTCTGTGTGACCAAGGCTCACATGAAGAGTGTTTATATACGGTTGTGTAATAGTGTTTAAGTTTGTTCTGAGCCACAGGGTGGGTTTAATGAGGCGCTGTTATGAGGGACAGACTTTATTGACATTTGAAGTGCACAGAGCAGAGGCTGATTGGCTCACTGAAGGAGGGCTGTGAGATGATTGGACCAGACTGATGACAGCAGAAATGAGTTTTAAAGTGCGGGAAAGCAGAAGTGATGTAAACAATAGACCAGAAGCCCAAAAACGAATACAGCTCCGCCTTATGAACTCTTTCATAGGTTCAACCCAAGACAATATCAGGATTCTGTGTTCAGGGTGATGAACAGTTTCCTGTTTCCTGCTGTGAGGTCCGTGTAATTTCTGCAAATACTCTGTGCGCTCTATTGGCAAAAACAAATAAAAATATTTGATAGAGAGAGTTGAGGTTGCGGTTGTTTCACATCACTGATGATGTGGAACTCGTGTTGGACTGTGTTGTAAGATTGTGGGATGCACTTTGTGGAGTCCTCTAAAACAGTCGCACACACGGGCGCCTCCATCCTTTCCTTACATCAAAGTCTGTCTGTTAAAAGAGCCTCAGCTCATGCATCACTCATCTTTCTGCTCAGCATAGCAGGAGAAGCTGGCGACACAAGACACAAAGAGAGATGAGATTTATAATTTCATTTCTAACAACTTTTTAAATATTAAATGGTGTATAATTAGGAGAAGAAGGTGCAGCCTGGTAGAATGGGAGTGTGTGTTAATACTTCAGAAGGACAAAGTGTACAGTAGTTTAACCCTGACTGTGTGTGTGTGTACAAAACACAGACTCTGAGGGCTTCAGTCCACAGACAGCCGGAAACATCGGAAGTGAGGTGTGTCTATTTCAACCATGTGTCTAAAGGTTATTCATAATTCTTCAGTTATTTTACAATTTGGTGTCAGTCCAGTTTGATTTCTATAGCCCCAAATTACAAGAACAGTCACCTCAAGGTGCTTTGCACTGTACGGTAAAGACCGTACAATAACACAGCGAGCACTTGGTGACGGTTGGAAGAACAAAAATCCATTTAGCAGAAAGAAACCTTAGAATCACATTAATGGACGGGTGGTCATCTGCTGTGAGCTTTTAAAGGTGAGCAGGAGGACAACAGGACAAGCATTGTGTGTATACGGTGTCACCTGTTCTGCTCACCTGCTTCTGTTTGATGGGCAAACAATGGGATTTGTCTCCAGGATCAAATACCAATAGTCTCGCATGTCAGGGAGTCTGTTTTGTCTGTTTCTCTGAGAATTTCTCATCCAAAAACTCTAAACCCAGGCACAATGTACATTTCAAATTCCTTTGATTTTAAATATGTCTATATTGTCTATCCTGTAAAATAGTCAGATGTCTATTTTTGTTAATGTACAGAATTCACCTGCTTGCTGCTACTACTGCACATTCACCCAATGTATATACTATATATATATATATATATATATATATATATATATATATATATATACGCTGTCCTCTGTCCTCAGTGTGATGGCTCTGTGAAGAGCAAAAATCAAACAAACAAATGAGTTAAAGTGAAGTTGTTTAGGAGTCAGGGAATTTCACTGGTTATTATCAGTTATTCT